GTGGGGAGTATAATTCCAGAGGTGCAGGCTGGGCAGCCACTGTCCCCCAGATGGTAGAGATCTGGTGCAGACAAGGCAGACGCAGCTCTCAGCTTCAAGTGCACCTAAAATGGTGTCTCCACCTCTACACAGGTGTCCCCTGGTCTCTTGCAAGGGTCCAATGGCAGCTGTGGGTCCAGCAGCATCATAGAATCCCTTCCTTCCACACACTCCTGTGCTTCAAGGCTCACCTGGAGGTCACCAGACCAGGGGCAATCCTGGAATGGCTTGAGTTGGAAGGACCTTAAAGTCCATCCAGTCCCACCCTGTGCCGTGGGCAGGGGCAACTTCTACCAGCCCAGGTTGCTCCAAGCCCCATCCAGCCTGGCCTGAACACTGCCAGGGATGGAGCAGCCACAGCTGCTCTGGGCACCCTGTGCCAGTGTCTCACCACCCTCACAGGGAGAAGACCTGTCCTGTTGTCCTGGGAGAGGTATTCCTCTTGCTTGGAACAAGCTTTAAACTGGGGCAACTGGTCAGCTGGCTTTGCTGGCAGAGTGAGGTCCTTGTTTCTTGCTGCTTTGGTGTAACAGGAGCTCCTGGTGCCCTTGCATGAGCAGCCCAACCACATCACTGTGGCTCTGAGAGCTTCATGCAGCTCCCTGACCTGCCTTGTTCTCCTCCCAGGGTGTGAGGAGGCACTGAAACTCCTTTGTGTGGCTGAAGTACAAGTCTCAATGGAAAGGATGGGAGAAGAGAACTTTCCTCCTTCCCATCTCTTCACACCAGCTGAAGGCAGAGGAGCACTCATGGTCTGTGGCCAAGGGCTGAGGAACCCACACCAGGCTGCTGGCCAGGGCACCCCAAGCTGCCAGAAGATCTCTAGAAGTTTTGGCAGGGAGGATTCAATTTCAGACTGGTGTGGCTGGAGGGAATCCAGTTCTCTTACTGTGTCTTGCCCCAGTTCATCCAGCAAGAGTGAAACTGGCTGCTGTTTGGGTTGGGTTGTTTGGGTGGAAAATGGAGTGTACTGTGGAGGCTCCTTTGGAACTCCTTTGAGATGTTGTTCTGACCCATGAAATCTCACTCACAGTGGAAAATCTGACCTTGTATGCTCACTTGTGGGTCTCTGATGGGCTGGTTGGGGCTTTGCAGAGGTGTCTGGCAAGTGATACTTGCTTTGCATGAGCTTTAAATACCATGGGGTTTATTTCCCCCTTCTACCCACATTTCCTTCAAAACATTTGCATTTCTTCATCTATTCTTACAAAGACAATGACAAATCTATTACACTGAAATCTTCTACCAGCACCAATGTGTTTTTTAATGAAAACCCATAAAATTCCAATCACAGTGAGAAAAAAACCATGGAAGGACATGTTTTGAGAGGAATATTTCAGCCAGTGCTGATGTTTGCAGCGTATCTGCCAAACATTGATAGATAGCACAGCTTGCAATTCGTTATTGTTTTGACCTCCAAAGAAGAAGCCACAAGTCCCTTACTGTCTGCATCAAAACACAGTGTGGGGCTCTCTGGGATGAGCCACATGGGTTGCCTGACAGTGGTAAGGATACTTTGCTTTCCTAAACCCTTTGGAGTTGGAAGTTAAGTGCTAAAACATCTCTTTTTTTTCCCATTTGCACTCCCTGGGCATCCTCCATGGACAGCCCCAAAGCTGGTGTAGGTAGTCAGACCCCTGTGCTGGGACATTCTTATGGGAGCTCTCCCTCATCCATCCAAAGTCTGAGCTCCCACAGCACCTGGGAGCTCAGAGAAGGTTGTGAATACTGAGAGAACAGAGTCAAACTCATCCTGGGGAAGCTGAGCTGACCTGCCAGAGAAATAAGTGTGTGGAATCAGAGCTTCTCAATTATTCATGTTTCCAGAATCACATTAGTCATTCCAGGGCCTGTTTTATAAAGCTGTTGCTATTTCTGATGGTAAATAACAACTTTGCATTATTTATGAACAGATTTTTACAACTTCTGATGTTCCAGCTGCTGCCAGAGCTAGGGGAAACTTACTTGTGCTGGTTGGTGTGGTTTCTTCCTTACAACACAGCCTTCTTGCTGTGTGCCTGATGATGATGATGATGTGTCATCCTGGCGTGACAGCTGAGCAGTGGCAAGGAACAGGGTGTAGGTGCCAACAGGTGACTTGGGTGGCCATTGAGCTCGTGGCTGGTGCTCAGAGCTGAGCTGAGCCAGGGATGGATGTAGCACAGGTCATGATTAAAGTCCAAGAGGAGGAAGGTGTGATTACCTCCCTGTGCTGGAGGACAGTTGGAGGAGTTGCTGGAGGAGCTCCTGAGATGGGATGTACTCCACTGCTTCTGCTCATCATTTACTTCAGATGACATCCTACAGATCAGAAAAAGATCCCTCACCAATCCCTTCACATTTTAGTGGTTCAATCCCTTACAGATCCATCTCTTTGTTCTCAACCTTTGGAGGAGTCTTAGTGGAGACCATCAGAGATGTATTTGCTAAGTAGCTTCAGGCAGAAGAATCTCTGGCTCAACTTCACCCCAGCACTGGAAGGTATTTAGAAGAGAGAAAAGTCAATTAAGTCGTTTGAGGCAGGTTGGAGTGAGACCTTTGGCCTGTGCTTGGGAGAAGATATCTATCCCAGAGTGGTTGGAGCTGTGAGGATAGTGACTGTGGCAGCCCCCAGCTGCAGTTTGTCTGAGTTGCTGCCTGTGTCACTTGTCCATGTCTCGTGCCCCTCGTGTCGCTGCTGACGCAGCGGGAGCTGATCGTACCCCACAGCCACAGCTGCTCCTGGGCAGCCACCGCACAGGGAGTGCTGGAGGAGCCTCTTAGCTCTTCTCCTGCATTCCTGGCCTCCAGCAGTGTCCTGGGAGCCAGCAGGGATGCATGCAGGGATGCAGGGAGGCAGTGCTAGCAGCCGGGGCTGAGATCAGAGATTCTCAGCAGGATGGAGGGTTCCTGCATGCATTGCTTCCCTCTCTGCTCACAGCCTGAGAGCCACACATTGGGCAGGGTTTTCCAGGCTCTAACGGAGCAGGATCCAGAGAGAATGGTGGTGCAGTTGGTCCCACAGCTTCTTGTCCTGCCTGTGGTGTCAGAGATAGGGGAATTACTTCAGCTTGCAGCATGGAGAATGGTGTTCAGTTCGGCAGTCGCTGCCTGCTGCCATCCAGCTCCTTCCCTGCCTGAGGAATGGGAGAGACACCCTCAAGTCCCAGCCCCCAGCACGCCCCCGGCCCTTTTGTCCTGCTCAGGACCCAAACCTGCTCACTGGTGCAGGTGTTGCATCCTTCGACCCCTGCTAAGCCAGAGGAAAAACTGCCCTGTTTTACCCAGAGCAGCCTGTCCCGTGTGTCTGGGTGAGCTGCTCCCCATGACTGTCCTGTCTCCCCTTCACCAGGCATCCAGCCCTTCCCTTGCTCAGCCTGCTCAGCAGCTCAATTATCCTCTGTCAATTCAGTCTTCCCTGCTCTGCAGGGACACGAGGGGGTTTAGCCAGCACAGCCTGACAGCAGAGAACAGCATGAGCACAAGGTCTGTGCACAGACCTGACCCATCTGTTTATCTTTTCTCTCCCAAGGCTGTCTGGAGATCAACATAGAATCATGGAATTTTAGGGGCTAGAATGGAACTTAGAGAGGTCATCTACTCCTGGGGCAGGGACACCTCCCAGCAGAGCAGGTTGCTCAAGGCTTTAGCCAACCTGGCTGTGAACACTGCCAGGGTTGGGGCAGCCACAGCCTCCCTGGGCAACCTGTGCCAGTGTCTCACCAGCCTCACAGGGAAAACTTCTTGATATCTAACCTAAATTTCCCTCTTGCAATTTATCCCCATTGCCCCTTGTTTTGTCACTGCAGTTCCTAACCAAGAGTCCTCTGCAGCTTCCCTGTAGGTCCTTCAAATTGGTCTCAGGGTGCTGTGAAGGGATAGATGTGGGATGCCAGGCAGAATCTGTTGAGGTTTTGAGGAGCTCCTCTGCAGCTGTAGGTCCTTCAAATTGGTCTCAGGGTGCTGTGAAGGGATAGATGTGGGATGCCAGGCAGAATCTGTTGAGGTTTTGAGGAGCTCATGGGCTCCTTTAGACCCTGCTGTGTCCCACAAGAAGGCTCACCCCCCCATGCAGGCTGTCAGGATGTGTGGTTGTGCATGGGGAGGTGGAAGTCATACAATCATAGAGTTTTAGGGTTTGGAATGGAATTGGTCTCAGGGTGCTGTGAAGGGATAGATGTGGGATGCCAGGCAGAATCTGTTGAGGTTTTGAGGAGCTCATGGGCTCCTTTAGACCCTGCTGTGTCCCACAAGAAGGCTCACCCCCCCATGCAGGCTGTCAGGATGTGTGGTTGTGCATGGGGAGGTGGAAGTCATACAATCATAGAGTTTTAGGGTTTGGAATGGACCTTAGAGATCATCTAGTCCTGGTACAAGGACAGAAGAGGGACACCTCCCACCAGAGCAGGTTGCTCAAGGCTTTAGCCAACCTGGCTTTGAACACTGCCAGGGTTGGGGCCGCCACAGCCTCCCTGGGCAATCTGTGCCAGTGGCTCAGCACCTTCACAGGAAAAAAAAAAAAGCAGCTTGGTGTCTATCTACAGCCTTCTTGCACCACTGTTAAAAAAAAAGTGCCTCTTGCAGCCTGTTGACTTTTAAGAGAGACTTTAAGAAACAACACAGGCTGTTCTGGAGAGGCCACAGCCTCCCTGGGCAACCTGGGACAGTGTCTCACCACCCTCACAGGGAAAATCTTTCTAATACCTAGACTAAATTTCTCCTCCTTCAATTTGAATCCATCTCAAAACATTCTGCAACCCAAGGCACCAAAACACAGGCAGGCTCACAGAGGAGGAACACCCAGGCACCATCCAGGCTTGTGGTTGGAGCCACCAACCAGAGGAGAGTCAGGGTCTGTTTCACAAATCCCATGTTGCCATGGAGCCAAGGGCAGGATTAAATCCAGTGATGTTGCTGTTGGAAAACAGTTCAATGTGAACAGCAGCAAGTTGTGTTTCGTCCTTTCTTCCTTTCTCTTACAGATCTTCTCCATTGTGGTGTTTGGCTCCATTGTCAACGAGTGCTACGTGAACAAGGACAGTCAGAACTCAGAGCTGCTCTGCATCTTCAACGAGAATGAGAGTGCCTGCAGCTATGGCATTGCTGTGGGTGTCATTGCCTTCTTTGGCTGCATCTTCTTCTTCGTTGTGGACCTCTACTTCCAGCAGATCAGCAGCGTAAAGGATCGCAAACGGGCTGTGCTGCTGGACCTTGGCTTTTCAGGTACCTCTCTGCCTCTGCCGGGGGGCTGTTGTGGTTTAACTCCAGTCAGCAGCCAAGCCCCACACAGCTACTCGCTCACTCCCCACCAGTGGGACTGGGGAGAGAATAGGAAGGGTAAAAGCTGGAAAACTCTTCGGGTGAGATAAAGAGAGTTTAATAGTGAAAGGAAAAGCCACACACACAAGCAAAACAAAACAAGGAATAAATTCACTGCTTCCCACGGGCAGGAGGTGTTCAGCACCTCCAGGGGAGCAGGGACCATCACATGTAACGGTTCCATGAGAAGACAAACACCATCACTCCAAATATCCTCCCCGTTCCTCCTTCTTCCTCCCACCTTATATAGTGAAATTATGTCTTATGGTATGGAATATCCCTTTGGTCAGTTTGGGTCACCTGTCCCAGCTGTGTCTCCTCCCAGTCCCCCATTCCCTGCCAGTCTCCTCCTCAGTGTGGCAGTAAGGAAAGCAGCAAAGGTCTTGGCTCTGTGTGAGCTCTGCTCAGCAACAACAAACACATCTCTGCATTACCAACCCTGTGCTCAGCACAAGCCCAAAACATAGCCCCATCCTAGCCACTGGGAGGAAAGGAAACTCTTCCCCCAGCCCGAACCAGCACAGTGGGTGAAGGATGGTGATGCCTCCATGGGGTCATTGCTGTGTCCTGCAGCTCCACTCTGGAATCTTCTCTCCCTCCATGGCCTGACTTGACTTGTGTTCCTCAGAGAACAGGAACTGGATGGATTGTCCATCCAGCCATGAGCTGAGGCAGCTGGATGTGGTAGCCTGGGCACAGTGGGGTGTCCCACTCCTCTCTGTCATTTCTGCAACTGGAGATCTTCACTGAGCTGGGTTAAGTGAGGCAACCCAGAGAAGTGAGGCTTGGTGGGTGCTTCTCAGAGACCAGACAGTGTTTTACCCTACACATCTGTTTCTGGCTTGAGTCAGAATCCCTTGCAGATTCGTTTCTTGGTCCTCCAATTTGGAGGAGACTTAGTGGAGACCATCAGAGATGAGTTTGCTAGTGGGACCAGTGCATTTACAGGCAGCTTCAGGTAGAAGAATCTGGCCCAAGTTCACCCCTGGGCCAAGGATGACCTTAATCAGTGACATTGGGTCTGGTTCCACTGTGTGTACATGTTTGAAATAGCAGAAATGCACTTCAGTGCACCTCTGTGGCCCTTCTCTGTGTGCAGTTGGGGCTGGGGCTCCCCAGATCTTCTCAGGTGGCCACTGAGCTCGTGGCTGGTGCTCAGAGCTGAGCTGAGCCAGGGATGGATGTGGGACAGGTCATGGTTAAAGTCCAAGAGGGAGAAGGTGTGATTACCTCCCTGTGCTGGGGTAGCTGCTGGAGGAGCTCCTACACACCTGAGGTGGGATGTACTCCACAGACTCTGCTGCTTCTGCTCATCATTTACTTCAGATGACATCCTACAGATCAGAAAAAGATCCCTCACCAATCCCTTCACATTTCAGTAGTTCAGTCTCTTGCAGATCCATTTCTTTGTCTCCAGTTTGGAGGAGTCTTAGTGGAGGCCATCACAGATGAGTTTGCTGTGGGACTTGGATTTGTAAGCAGCTTCAGGCAGAAGCAGCTCTGGCACAGGTTCACCCCTGGGCTGGCACAGACCTTCGGTGCCCTTCTGAGCCCCTTGACCTGAGGCTCATCCATGTAGACATGAGCAGAGAGGATTCCCTGGCCCAGGAGAGAACATCCCCCACTTGGCTGCTGCCTGGCTCTGTTTGCAGTGATGTTCTCCATTCCCAGGCCCTGGTGTGAGCCAAGTCTGGGGTTGATTTATCCGGCACAAGCATTGCTGATGGCTCTCTGGTCCCAGCTGAAAACATCCATCATCACCTCCCTATGCTTGCCTGTTGTTAAGGCTGTTCTCTCCTTGCTGGGAAGCTCATTCCCATGGTGCTGGAGCACCAACATCCAGCCCTTGTTAGGTGGTATTTACAGCCCTTTCCACAGGGCTCTGTGCCCAAATCCCTTGGATTCAAGCAGAAGGGGAACATCACATCCATCTTCTGGATGTGATTCTCTCTCCTGCCTTCCACCTCCTGACAGCACTCTGCTCCCTGCCAGGCATGTGGGACCTGGCACTGCCCTCAGTCTCTGCCACATTTCTCCTTTGGCCTTGTGATGCATCCACTGGTTGGGGAAATGAGAGTGTCAGAGGACCCTGGCATGGGTTGGGTTGGAAGGGACTTTAAATCACATCCATCTTCTGGATGTGATTCTCTCTCCTGCCTTCCACCTCCTGACAGCACTCTGCTCCCTGCCAGGCATGTGGGACCTGGCACTGCCCTCAGTCTCTGCCACATTTCTCCTTTGGCCTTGTGATGCATCCACTGGTTGGGGAAATGAGAGTGTCAGAGGACCCTGGCATGGGTTGGGTTGGAAGGGACTTTAAAGGTCAACTAAACTAATCTCTGGGACATAACTGGGTGGTACCACTGTGGCACACGAAGGGCCACCACACTGCAAACAGCATTTACAACTTGCTCTTTCAGCTGCTGCTGTAGACACAGGTTTGCTTGGGCCCAGGCTGGGATCAGGGCTATAACACGTCTTTCCTGGTGTTCGCACTCTGTTGTCTGCAGATCCTGAAATGCTCATTATCTCCTGGCTCCTGCGGTGCTTCCTGGCATTCTTGTTTTTCCTAGTGTGCTGGAGGCTATGGAGCTGCTGCTGTGCCTGATCCAGCTGGTGCTGGGACTGGCACATGCAGCATCACTGCATCACTGCCAGCTCAGCCTTCTTTGTGGAGTGTTAAAATTCATCTCAGTCCTCCAGACTTCAGCCACACCTGCCTTGTGTTGATGTTCTCCAAGTCTGACCCTGTCTCCTCCAGCAGCAGCAATACTTCCCTTTCCCATGGCATGGAGGGAATCCTCCCTCCTCTCAGGGACCCAAGCAGAGCTGATATGGAGGGGAAAGGCTTATCTCTGCATCACAAAACCTCCTGGAAATCCACATGGGTGGCAGCAGGAGTGACCCCAGGGAGACATTCCCAGCTGAAGGTTTTAAGCTGAGGAAGGTCAGTGTCTCACATACCTCAGTGCTGCAGAGGAATTTGGTAGCTGCAGTACCCAGTGCAGCCTGTGCAAGCTCCGAGATGTGCATGATGTCATTTTAACTCTTGAAAACCCTGAGGTGACACCAGGAGTATTACAGCACTGGTAAGTGCTGTAATCACTTGGCTGTGACTTGGGCTCGGTGGCAATGCCCTGCCCAGGAGTGTATGAGGGAGGATGAGCTGCATTAGATCAAATGTTAAACAAAGAAACAGTCCTCCCAAACAAATCCACCCTTTACAAACCAGTGACACAGCGTGGTGCTGTTGGAAAACCCCCTGTCCCTTTGTGCCAGCACTGCCTGACCCGGAGCCTGTCGCTGAGCATCTCACTGCTCCCACAGTGCAGCTCTGAGTTTACCTGTTGGGAGCTGCTTTTGCTTCATCTCTGGTCTTTCCACTTCCAAACAAGCCCAAGTGGGATTTGGAGTGATGACTGAGGGTTGCTACTTGAGCATGGGAGGGCAGTGTTCCCTGCTGCCAGGGTATTTGGTCCCCAGGTGCCCGGAGGTGGGAGTATGGCACCCAGGTGACTGGTACCCACCACGCTCACCTCATCTGAGCTGCATCCAGGGTGTGCATCTTCTTGTGGCCACATTTAGGCATCAGATCTGCTTCCCATAATGAGGACTACCTGCTGGGAAAACCCTGTTGTAACAGCTGGGGCACAGAAAGGGTCTCTGTCACAAGGGCTGACCTTTAAGAAGTAAACCCTAGAGGTCTCGTTTAACATTAAGTACAAGTCTTAGGGTGCTAAGGGGAAGTGAAAATGCAGCCACAGAGGTTTGGGGACAGGATTAGCTGTATTGGGTGAAATGTCTGTAATCTGGAAAAGGAAAGCCTGGCTGGTCCCTGATGTGAGGGCAGTTTCCTGGCCAGGCTGGTCAGGAAGCCTCAGCCCCAGCCATGCAGGAGAGGGAGATGAGGAATGTGTCATCTTAAACTGCAATTAGGAGCAAATTCTGAGGGAATGTAACTCCAGCACTGGCTGTGGGTGCTCACATGCATTGCATATCATACTCGGGGACAACAGCAAGATAAAGGGGAGTAGAGGAAACTAAATGGGAATAGGGGAAGGTTCTTGCTCTCCTGCAGCCAGACAGAGCCTTGCAGCCTCAGCCCCATGGGACTGACAGTGTTGCTGCTCATACTGATGTGCTAATCATCCTTGGGAAGGTGCAGCATTCCCAGTGTCCATGTGTGTGCTGGCACCCAGAATCAGTGGCTGGGGGGACCTCAGGAAGGCTGGAGACCCTGAAAACAGCATCCTGGGAGACTCCAGGTTGTGCAGCTCCTCTTCCCAGTGCTGGGAAGCATCCCTGCTCCTCACCCCGCATCCCTGCTCCTCACTCTATATTCCTTCACCTCACTCTGTATAACTTCTCCTCACTCTGCATCCCTGCTCCTCACTCTGCATCCCTGCTCCTCACCCTATATCCCTGCTTCTCACTCTGTATCCCTGCTCTCTCTGTATCCCTGCTTCTCACTCCATATCCCTGCTCTCTGTGTATCCCTTCTTCTCACTCCATATCCCTGCTCCTGGCTTGTGCCATGTGTTTGCTGAGCCCTTTGGCCCCAGGCAGTGCTGTTGCAGGCAAGTGAACTAGGGGAGCTGCAGCTCTGTCTTGCTCAGACAGCTTTGGTTCCAGGAAGGAATAATCACCAGAGTGGTTTTGCTCAGCTCCACAGGCCCACAGGGATTCTGTGCAGGGTCGAGCAGAGCTCTCTCACATGAAGGACCACATGTCATGGAATCACACAATCCCAGGCTGGTTTGGGTTGGAAGGGCCTGAAAGATCATCTCATTCCACTCATGCCCTAGGCAGGGACACCTTCCACTAGCCCAGGTTGCTCCAAGCCCTGTCCACCCTGGCCTGGAACACTTCCAGGGATGAGGTAGCCACGTCTCAGGGAAATCCATTCCAGTGCTTCACCACCCTCACAGGGAAGAATTCTTTCCTAATATCCAATATAAACATCCTCTCCTTCAGCTCAAGGCCATTCCCTGTTGTCCTCTCACTACCTGTCCTTGTGACAAGTGCAGCATTCCCAGGGAGGATATGCTGTCCCTGTGGGTCTTTAGATCAGGTTGAGGTGTAGATGGGCTAAACCTCAGGCAGGCAGCACACTGGATGACCCTACAAGGTCACTTCCATCCCTGTTTTTCTATCAGCCTCTTTTCCTAAGCTCCTTCTGTGCCACACCATGGGTCAAGGCATCCAAAATTGCTGTTGCTAGATGTAAATCTCAATGGCATCAAGTTTGTGCAGTGGCAAAGACGTTCTTGCAGCAGAGGGGGCATTGGGCAGGGGCAGCACTGACCAGCTCTGTTCCCTTTCAGGTTTCTTGTCCTTCCTGTGGTTTGTAGCCTTCTGCTTCCTGGCAAACCAGTGGCAGAGGACGACTATGAGCAGAGGGTTCTCGCAGGGTGCGGATGCTGCACGTGCAGCCATCACCTTCTCCTTCTTCTCTATCATCATCTGGGTGAGCTCAGCCTGTCTGAGTGGGGGAGCGGAACTGAAACCTCCCCTGGGCTCAGCACTGAGCTGCAGGAGGAGTCTGGGGCTGCTTTGGAGAAGTGAATCCTGGTGGGCAGCAAGGGGTTTTACTCAGGAAACCTTTGGGCCTTCCACAGCTGAACCTGGTGCTTTCTTCCCCAGAAAGCAGCAGCTCATTGCCCTCTCACTGGGGAATTCCAGACTTCCCCTTCTCCTGTGGCTGGAAAGTTGTGTTCCCATTGCAAATGTGTTAGCAACCACAAGCTGCCCTTGTTTCTGGGCCTCAGTAGAGCCCTGGGGGTAGCTTGGTTGGCAGCAAACAGTCCTCAGGAGTGGATCACTGCCAGGAGCTGCTTCATGGTGTGGCTGGGGGTTTGGGGAGCTCATCAGCTCAGCTGGGAGAAACCAAACTGGCTCCTCTGCTGTCCATCCACGGGCAAGGGCTTGCAGACACCCCCTTTGCTCCTGTTTTTGGCTCTGTGCATCCCCAGAACCACACAGGATCAAGGAGACATCAGCCAAGGCTGTGTGATACCCCACATGTCCCTTGCCCACAGCTGTTGGACCCTACGTATACCGGGGACGCCTGTGCCTCTCCACAGGCTGTGAGAGCAGATGGATGGCCTTATGTCACCTCCAGTTTTTCCTGGGCAGGGAGCACCCAGGATGTGCACTAATTTCATATTGCCTTAAGAGAATTGGGGCAAAAACCAGTTGGAGGCTTTCCAGCAGCAGCCCTGGCTCCAGTTATCCCCCGGTTTCACTTCTCTCTGCTTTATGCTTATCCAAATTCATCTCCTTTAATCCCAGCTCTTCTCCATCCCTGAGTGCCCATTGCAGCATGGGGAGGGGCAGTGGGTGGAATGCTCTTCCCATCCCATCAGTTCCCACCCTGGGAGGACACCAGTCCCTTGTTACCGTCCCAGAGGCTGGATGGGATGATTGGGAAGCCATTCCCAGTGTCTACAGGCATTTTTTTCCCTTTCATTTATAACCTAATGGAGTTGTTAATGAACCCTCCTGCAATCAGAGGGAGTGTGAGGCACTTGCATTTCCCACTGTTTGTGACCTCAATTCTGGCAACCTGGAAAACGGGGAAGGAATCTTGACGGAACTAACCTATTTTCCTGACCTGGCACTCAGCAGCTTTCCCTTCCCACAGCATATGGGTTTACTGGTGGTGGTGGTGCCAAATCTAGACCCCGAGCCCAGGCTGTGACCCCCAGCCCAGACAGCTTGGGGGGCTCAGCCTGGCACACAGAATTGGCTTCTTTGGTGTTAGGGATTGGGCTCTGGGCTTGGTTTGTCTCTTGGTTATGATGGAGTGGGGCAGCAGTTTCTTGGGGGGCTGTGATGGGATTGGTACTTTGCAGTGAGGTGGGGGATGTGGGGTCCTGGGGGATGTGTGGTCCTGGAGGGACATGGGACCCTGAGGAGATGTGGAGTCCTGGGGGAATGCAGGGTCCTGGGGAGATGTAAAGTCCTGGGGGGATTGTGGAATCCTGGGGATTTCAGGGCCTTGGGAGGCACATGGAATCCAGGGGGAATATGGGGGCCTGGGGGGAGGCGTGGGTGAATGTGGATTCCTGGGGAGATGTGGAGTCCTGGGGGCATTGTGAGGCCCTTGGGGGGTTCAGGATCCTGGAAGGACGCGCTGTCCTGGGGGAACATGGGGTCGTGGGGGGACACGAGTGCCTGAGCACACGTGGGGTCCTGGGAGATGTGGGATCCCAAAGGGTTGTGGGGTCCTAGGGATGTAACAATGTCCTCTCCAACATCACTTCCACCCCTAACCTGCCTGTCCCCATGCAGGTGGTGCTGGCGGTGAGAGCCCTGCAGAGATATCGCCTGGGGACAGACATGTCCCTGTTTGCCACCGAGCAGTTCCCTGCTGAGCCCAGCGCTCCCTACCCTGCATACCCCGCGGGCAGCGGCGTGGAGAGCACAGACACCTACCAGAGTCCTCCCTTCACCCAGAGCCTAGAGGCCAACCCCAAAGGTTACCAAGTGCCAGCGTACTGAGGGCAGGGCTGGCACCTCGTGTCCCCTGTCCCATGCCAGTGCTGGGCCCTTCGTTAGCTAGTTGTGCAGTGAATTCTGTACAGTGGTGTTGGTTCTTGTCTTACCTGTCCCAGGGTTTCTAAAAGCAGTGTTCCCTCTAAGCCAGGAGGAAGGAAGGTTGCTACCACCTCATCTGCATGTGGGAAGGATGAATAAATGCCTTTTTTTTCTCTCTTTCTCTCTTTCTCTCTTTCTCTCTTTCTCTCTCTCTCAGGCTCTGCCGGGATAGCCCACACCACCTTTTCCTCTTAGGAAACAGCAGCTAAGGAGTTATTTATCTTGTTCTTCCAGAGCTAACACAGAATCCATCGAGGCTGGAGGGCAGTGGGGAAGGTCAGCCTGATCCACTCCCACTGCAGGGCTTTCCTGTCCATGTTCCATGGAAAGTGCCAAATTCATGAGGAAATAAGTGGTGTCTGTGTTGCTTTTCTTTGTATATATTGACTGTACAAAACAACATCCAAACAGGTGTTTCAAACTTGGCTTAGAGGCACAGTGGGTTGGGGTGACTGGCCAAATCGCTTCTATGGGTTGTGGTTGGGGATGTAAAAGGTTGTTGTTTGAAGCTGGAAACCAGTTCAGCACTGGTTGGAGGCTAATTTGGAATAGCCTGCGGGTACTGGGAATACAGGATTCTGTTTCTTCCCCAAGGGATTGGGAAATTTGTAGATTAACAAGGGGTTTCTGGTTGGCAGCACTGGCACATTTGGGTGACTCAGGCTCAAAGTCCAAGGCCATTAGGAGTGATCTTGGACTTTTATTTGTATCCTGGGAGCAGCTACCATCTGTCAGCTGCAGCACAGCCCAGGGGGGCTACGTGTGGCAGCCTCCAGAGATCAGGAATTCAGGCAGCGAACTGGAAAGTCTTCACAGGCCATAAAAGTCCATTCCATGGGGGCTCACAGCCCTGTGGTTGGAAACGATGGGGGAGGAGAGGCAATGGAAAGCACCAAGGAAAGAGGCTCAGTTTGAGGGTTCACCTGCAAAATTCCTGCCTGGTAAAAATGTGTAAAATCCAGGGGGTCCTTGTCAGCCACTGGATGGCTTTCCCAGATGGCTTTCCTTGCCAGCATTCCCTGCCTGCACAGTGACTGATCCAGGCTGAGTCCCTAAGGGCTGAGCAGAGGAGCTGAACCTTGAATTCCTGAGCCCCTCCGTGGCAGCTCCATCCTTGGCAGCCCCTGGCTCTCCTGGGCTCTCCCAGCTGTCCCTGCTCTCCTGTCTGTCCTGGTTCTCCCGACTCTCAACGGCTCTCAACTCTCCCGACTCTCCCAGCTCTCCCAGGTCTCACCTCTCCAGTTGACACCGGCACAGCCACCGCTGCCCTCTGCCCTGGTGACAGCAATAGTCGCCACCTGCCCCTGCCCTCCTAGCATGTCCTTGTCATCCTCACCACAGCTCATTCTGCTGCCGAATTGCACTAACAACAAGCAGCAAATCATCCCGAGGGGAGTCTGTCCGTGACAGCATTCCCTGACTCCCTCCCTCCTTCCCTGTGTATTCCCAGCGAGGGCTATGCTGGTGCTGAGCCCCTCCTGAGCACCTGAGCAGGGAAACCCAAACCCAGTGTGGTATCAGCCTCAGTTAACTCCAGGGTCTGTGTGATTTTGTGGAGTCAGTTTTGCTGGGAAAGAAACCCCCCCTGCCAAGGAATTAAACACAGGGTAAGGTAGAACTGTAGCAATATTCTTCCTTAGAGGGAACACTGAAACTTTAGCAGCACAAACAGTACTTGTGTTCATATTTTAGCCAAAATTATAATCAATTTAAATGTTTAAATTGATTGTATGTGAGATAATGTTCGTTCAGTACAGTGTATTTTTTCTAACTATATAACTGTGCCAGAGTTTCCTTTTAATGTAAAGAGCTAAAGCTGTGTGTGCCTGTGGGACGTGTCCTGCCCCCTGTACCCCCTGCTCTGGATTACACGCTCTGAATGTCCTCCCTGAGGCCTGCATTGCCTTTCTTTGCCCCTCACCTCCCACCCAGGGGCAGTGGGACACGGTGGGGACACACGCACATCCGTCCGTGCCAGACTTAGCTTGGGACAGCAGCAGGGACGTGGGGACAATGTCAGCACCACTCCAGCTCCTGCCCAGGCACCTGGATCATCCCAAAGTTGCAGCTCCCACAAAATCGATGTACCTTCACCTTGCAGGTGGCACAGAGCTGCTTTGCTGGGCAGGAGAGGAGGAGGAGAAGGAAAGGCTTGGTGGTTTGTTGCAGTTCCCCGATACCAGCGGTACCTTCACTTTGCAGGTGGCACAAGGCTGGTTTGCTGGGCAGGAGAGGAGCAGGAGGAGTAGAAGGAGGAAGGGCTTGGTAGCTTGTTAAGGCTCCCCAAGGTCAGTATTACCTTCACTTTGAATGTGGCATGGAGCTGCTTTGCTGGGCAGGAGAGGAAGAGGAGGAGAAGGAAGGGGTGGGGGCTTGTTGCAGCTCCCCAGAATCAGTGGCACCTTCACCTTGCAGGTGGCACAGAACTGCTTTGCTGGGCAGAAGAAGAGGGAGGAGGAGGAAGGGCTTGGGTGCCTGAGAGGATTCCTGGCAACAGGAAGGCAGGACAGATTGCTCTTTGGTTAGGCTGGAGCTGGGAATAACATGTCCAGCCACTCCAACTGGCACCTGGAGGAAGATTAACCCTGTTCCTTCTGCACTGAGCGTGCCAGTCCCGTGCATGGAGGGGACAATATCCTGTTGGGGTGACACTGGGAAGGGTCAGGCAAGGACAGGCAGGAAAGCCACAGCTGGTGTGTTTTTCCAGGGAATAGTGATGGGTTTATGCATGAGATGGGTTCATACATGATGTGGCCCTGCCAGGCAGGATGGGACAACCCAAAACTCCTGTGGCACCACAGCAAGCCACCTCTGCCTTGCCAAGAACCTTCATCCACCTCAGCCTCACACAACTCCCGATTTGGGGCTTGTTGCTGGAGCTGTTGCCAAACACCCAGTACAGCTGCCCAGCCCCACGCTGCTCTCACCCTGCCCAGTTTAAACACATGGAGACAGGATGAGCCACCAGCTCCAGCCTGGCCAGCAATGCTCTGTGCCTGCCCCTGAGCTGTTTGGTGTCACCAGTGCCCTGCAGTGCCTGCTGTGGCAACACATCCGTGTCTCCCTGGCCCACTGGGCAGACTCAGCCCAGTGTGTACAGGTGGGGCTGCAACAAACACACCCCAATGGGCTTATGGTTAGACACCCATAGCCATCAGTGCAGTAACTGTGCAGTATTTGAGGTTCAGGCATTTGTGACCTCAATTTTCAGCTTCTTTTCCCCCTTTTTTCTCCCTGCCCATTTGCTGTGGTACAGTGGCACTTCCTCCCTTCTAACCAGCCAGGCCATGTCCTAAAAGCATGCCAGGACTTCCTGAGCACACCAGGACTGGCCTGGGCATCCCAGGATTGTCCTAAGAGCATGCCAAGACCATCCTGATCATGCCAGGACTGTGCCATCGTCACAAGCTCTCCTAACCCTCTGTCATGCCCAGAGCTCAGCAGCACCTTGACCTTGCAGAGGGCAGACCCATCCTGCTCTCAGACCAGCCCAAAAGCTTCTGCACAGTGTCAGCACTGAATTTGGGTGTGAAGAGTAGAATTCCAGCAATCTTGTGCCTTTCCTGGTGCTGCATCCTGCCCCATCCCCTCTCTCCAGGGTCTCTGTCACCGACCCCACACGTGTTGCTCAGTGCTGATGTTAAGCACATCAAGGAGTTTGCAGGTTTATTTCAAGCAGATTAGAAAGAATTGGAAGGTTTGCCAAGATTTTAAGCTGTTCTTAGCGAGATGGAAGCTTTGCTTAACATTTTTTCCCCAACCTAGGGAATATATCCTCCCCATCACCTGCTGCTGTGTCTCAGGGGCTGGAGCAGCCCCTGAGGGCTGATCCCTCCCTTTACAGCCAGCTGGCTGTTGTGGACACTGGGATGAATTTCCCATCAGTTCCTGCCACAACAGCAAGTGACACCCATGGCATTTTTCTCCTGGCCATCAATTCCTCACAGGGATAGCCCACACCTTCCCAAAGCCCCCAAACCAGCACAGGGCTCTGCCCACTGTCACCCTGAGTTCCCACTGCCTGTGCTCATTGCCTATTCCCTACCAACTCCCACCATTATTTGTGGAATGGGCATATCCCTCAGTAAAAGCTGCTGTATATATATATATATATCCCAGACTCCTCTCAGCCTATGCTGGGGCAAGCAGGAGGCTCTAGCTCCACTCTGATCCTGCTCTAGTCCCTCCTTGTCCTGTCCTCAGTTGCATTTGAAGCTCTGTGTGTGTGTCAAATTCTTTCCCATCAGTGAGACTCACAGCCCCTCACTGCCTGGACTTGAACCCCCAGCTCAGCTGCCTGGATTTTGTTGCAATACACATTGAAACCTCAGATCCTTTCAGAGTTTGAATCTCCAGCAGATCCCACCTGAGGGTTGGGAAGTTGGGTCCCTCTGCAGATACCTCTGTGTGAGCAGGTTGCTTCCAGGAGTTGCAGTTGTCACTAACCTCTGTGCAGTGTAGTATCAAGTGGATTGTATGGGAATCAGTTTCAAATGTTTACAATTTTGTATATAATATATATATAAAAACTATCTTTTGAGAGAACCACCTGTGGCTCTGTATTTTCAGTGTCTGTGTAACCAACTGCAACTTATTTTCAATAAAGAATTCAAAAGGAATAGGAAAAAAAAGGATTTGGTAATAAGTTTATTGGATCAGGTGAGCACAAGGAATAAGGAAACTGCAACATCAGAGCCCAGAGATGCAGTAACCCCAGGGAACCCCCAGCAGCACCTGCCTGGGGAGCCACAGAGCAGCCAGAAAGAACTGAAAATCCAAGGAAAATGGAAGATCCTCCTACAGGGAAGATGGATTTCATCCCCGAGCTGAGGGAGGGGCAGGGGAGCTGACACCGAGGCTCAATCACTGTCCAGAGGTGCCAGGGACAGCTGGTACCCCCCAAATCCCCGGGGGTGTCCCTGCCTCAGGCATCACGTCCCACTCAGCTCCAGCATCCCAACCGAGGCAGGAGCAGAGCAGTGTCACGACTCCTCCTGGACTCGGCTGTGTAGGCACAGCCATGCAGCCACACCAGCCTCCCCAGCCCTGCTCTGGGCTGAATACAACTTCTTCAGGTGGCCAAAAGAGTTTTAAATATGGAGCAAAGAAACCCAAAGCACTTTGCAGCCTGAGAGAAGCAAAGAGAAGTGTAAGGCAAGGAGAAGTGTCTGTAGCAGGAGTAGCTCTGGGGACATACCCTGAGCTTGATCCCATAGAAATGATGCTCCTAGAAAAACAGTGTTTTGTCACTAAAAAATCCATAAATTACTTGCAGCTTTATGTGTTAAAAACAATTCAGCCTGCTCTGCCAGGAGGGGAGAGGATCAGACATCAGCTACAGCCATGGAAGGGCACAGCAGGGTGGGCTCCTGGCACTCCACTACCTCACAGCTGCTGCTTGGGGGAGTCACTCCCAGGGATGAAGAGCTCCCTCCTCCTCTGAAGTGGAATTTGGGGTTGCCAAGAAACGTGAGCAAAGCTACCTCAGCCCAGTGTCCCCGAGGGAGGTGCAGGGTGTCAGAGCACTGTAAACAGCTAAATGCACTTAAAGGCACTGCAGAGAAACATGGTCAGTGATCAGCAGCATTTAATGTCCCAAGATGCTGTTGGGAGCTCCCACCAGTGATACATCCAAGAAATTAGAAACATTAAATAAAAGTCCCCCTGGGCCTTACTGAGGGTAAAGCCTTAATGCTGTTACTGTACATGCAGGGCTACAAAATCAGTTTCTGGAAAGAACATGGTACAGAAAAAGGTCAGAGGCAACTCCAAATCTCCCAGAGCTCAGCCCAACTCTCCAAGCAGCAGAACTGATTCTGTTTGCAGCCAGGACCAAGCTACAGCACAGTGCTTGCAGCTCTCCTGGGCACACCCAGCAGTGAGCAGCACCTTCCCTGCCCCTCTGCCCTCACTGACTATGGTGATCCTCACTCAAATAGCTCAAAATAAATCAGAATGTTCTAGGGAAGCCACTTCTGTTCATTTCAGTGATCCATAACCTTCCCCCACCCCCAGAAGAACCCCCCAAAGCAGATGCTTATTCCCCCATGGTGTCCCCTGCCAGCCTGCAGCTCGGAAGGGAATCCCCAGCTATGGCACGTTCCAGGAGGAAGGAGCCTACTGCCTGCCCACCCTGTGGCTCAGCCTAACCCTACCCTGGTGTTCTGGGAGCTCTGTGGGTGGTGCTGAGCTCCAGCACAGTCCTGTGATCCCCTTGCTCCAAGGGCTCCCCAATTCCCTGTGTGTGCCTGTCCCACCCAGCCCTCGGCCACGCTGTGCTGCCAAACCTCCTTCCAAAAGTGCATCTCCATAGGCAGAGCCTGCTTTGTTGGCCCTTGGGCAAGCTAACTGATGATCCTGCTGATTGCCTGTAAGGAAGGGAACTCCTCATCCTCAATATGCAAAGCTTTGTGGGTGGCCACATCCTGCTGGGTCAGCACCTGCTGACATGTGGGGCAGATGCAGCAGTCGAGGTCCGAGTGGGAGTCTGTCTGCCACACATTCTTTCTGTTCTTTTTGGCTTTGTTGGAGCTTTGTTTTTCCTTGAGCCTGAAGTCATTGTGAGCAGAGAGCAGTTCCTGCTGCTTCCCTGTGTCTGGCAGCAGCACCAGCAACTCGTTAAAGATCTTCCTGAAGTTCTCTCCCAGCAGTTCTCGGCAGCTCTTGTAGTACTGTGCTGCAGAGATCAGCCCCTGAGGGGACAGGGAGGGAATTATTACACACAAAAATATATTCTCTATTAAAAACTCCCCCTGGGATTCATGTCTCCCACAGAGGAGGATTGGGAGCCAAAGGCTCTGTCCCCACTCACCTGCCTGAACTGCCCAGAATGAGTTTTAAACTTGTTGAACTTGGACTCATCGCTGTGAAGGAATTCCTTGATGGATTGGATGAGTTGGATGTTCCTCTGCTGGAAGTTCTCAGGTACCAAGTATGATCCATGACAGGGTTTTGGCCTGTGTTGGGAAACACAAGTGACTGTGACACTGGTTTGTGTCACACAGAGATGCCCTGGGACATCTACTACTATAGGCTGCATGTCCTTCCTCTACTCAGCTACGTGTGCATCACTGTAAGCAGCGCACAGCTCCAGGATGATCAAAGATGGGACTTCTGGAGCAGATCCCAGCTTTACCTGGACAGAATATTTCAAATCCAAATTTGATATGGTCCTGACTAGCTGCTCTGTAAGATGAGTTCACCTGAAGGACATGAGCCACAAATGAACTGACTTAACACAGGTTCTGGGTTACAATGACTCGCAGATCCTCTCCCCTTGTCCCATCAACTCCTCTTCCCACCCCACCAACTTCTCTTCCTGCCCCACAAACTCTTTCTATCCCACAGCAGCCACAGAGCAGCACCTGGAAAGCTCAGAGCAGTGAAGCTCAACAAGGAGAACATTCCTCAGCACCTTTCTGCTGGACTCCAACAGAACCCATGGGAAGGTGAAGGAATATGTTGAAGCTGCAGATTTCCAATCAATCCAGGGCAGCCCAAAGCCTGAGCAGCCACAGTACACACCTCTTCACTGCCTCAGTTGTAGCTACACAGGGCGGTGGTCTTCTACACAGCTGTCCTGGATCCAATCCATACCATCCAGGGACCTCCCAAAGGGAATCTTCACCCACCTGGCCCCACTTAGAGCAACCCCCTGTAGGTATCCCATGCCTGTTTGCACCCATTGCCAGACCTGAGGTGCGATGGGTGAGGAAACTCGGTGCAAGGAGCTGTACTCACTCTTTCAGAGCTGTGGTGCCAGGCTCGGGGATGTTGGGGGGTGGAATCACAGCAAAGCCTGGGGGGGGTTTGCTGACAGGCACTGCCAGGCCTGGGGGGGGAGGAGGGTTCTTCAGCAGCACCACAGAGTTAAAGCCTGCAGGGAGGCACAGAGGGGCAGGAGTCAGGGCACACCTGTGACACACACACCTGCCCAAAACTCACACCGGTGTCTCACACACTCGGCAGGAGCACCCAGAAGTGAAATTTGCACTGCAGACATCACATTGGAAAAAACCTACCCACCAGAGATGGAAACCTTCAAGCAGCACTTCAGAGTGGCTGATGTTCCTCCACAAAGGGCTTTAATTATTCATTTGGTTTTTCAATGGAAAATAATGTTTTAACCCACTCCAAGTCATGATGAAAACCACTTTTCTATTACAAAAGGAGCAGAAATCCCTGGAGCAGCACTGAGAATGGCCTGGCCTGGCCTGTCCCCCCTCAGGAGCTGCAGAGTGGCACAGAACAGCAGTGCTGGAGCCTCCTCATGCCATGCCACTTCCATTAAAGCCACTCCAGTCATGTTGGTTGCTGTGCCTCTCCAGCCTTACGGCTAAAAGCAGGGCGTGAAAGCTCTGCAGCACGGGAGGAAGTGGCCAAGGAAGCTAAGTGATGAGTGCCAGCAGGGACAGGGCACAGCCAGAGATTCCCTTTGCCTGCAGCAGCTTCCAAACCACATCTTGGAGCACAACAGCACAGGTGTGTGTCAGCTGTGGCTCAGCAAAGGAACAGGGAGAGGTAAAATCCACCTGCTCAGCCCTGAGCCACGCCCAGCAGATACCTCCAGCTGCGTGGGGCAGAGCTGTCCCAACACTGTCCCAGACTCAGAGGCCATTCCAGCCCTCCTGTGCCACCCAGGCTATCTCTACCTTCAGAGCCAAGCTGGTACCTGATGGCACAAATTCACAGGAGAGCCACAGGGAGAGTTTATACACCACATCCACATGCAAAGTTTCTCTAAGCCATTTCCAAGGAAAGCTGACTGTACACAGGAATGCTGCCACATCCCTGGGAGTGTTCCAGGCTGGATGGGGCTTGGAGCAAAGTGAGCTAGTGGAAGATGTCCCTTCCACTGGGACTAGACGTGCTTTAAGATCCCTCCCCACCCAACCCATTCCATGATTCCCTGATTCACTCCATGCTCACCTGGTGGTGGGGGCATCCTGGCTGATCCTGAGCTCCCAAGAGCTGGGAAGTCTTCCTGAGGTAAAGGGCATTTATTAGTCACTGGGGGCTTTTTAAGGCCTGGAGGCTCTTTGGGTGCACCACAGACTGCTGAGGACTTTTCTGAGTGCCCATTCATGACAGCTGTGGGTCTGTCAGGGCCATGAGGAGCAGAGGACACCTTGGCTGGCTGCCCTGCTTCCAGTGGCTTCTCTGGGGATGACCTAGGAAATGGTGTCTCCTGGGACAGCCTTGGGGATGATGGTCTCTGCTTCTCCACCCCTACCTTCTTCTTCTTGCCCACCTTAGTAAAAGTTTGTGAGGTAGAAGCTGCTAGCAAGGAGGAGACATCAAACATGGTTGGTGTGTTTCTGATCTCCTGGGTGGTCAAACCACTGCCACTGTCTTCCTCATCTGACTGGCAGAGTTTATTGCTCTTCTTGCTGCCCTTGGAGGTGTTCAGGGCTGGTTTCTTGGCTGCCTGGGTGACACAGGGGCTGCTGATGGCTTTGACCACATTTTTACTGGAACCATTGTTCCATGCAGATGTGATGTTGGTTATTGTTTTGTTGTTGGGCTTCATCTTGGACACCAGAGCTGGGAAATCCTCTTCCTGGAATGCTGCTTTCTTGGCAGTGGCTGTATATGTCAGAGGCAACCCAGAAGGGATGGTGGGAGCTGCAGAGGACGACAAGCTTGGGAAGTCTTCTTCTTTAAGCTTAACCAGTGCTGGCTGAGCAGAGCTGTGAGGAAGGGACAGCGTTAGGGTCACCCCCAGAGGCAGCACAACCTCTCCACACTCCTCCTCACACTGTCCCTTAGGGTGGCACAACAGAACACCAATGCACTCAGGGTTAGCAGCTGCACCTGCAGTGAGGCTCCTGTAGAGCTGCCACCAGTCTTGCTGTGCTATCAGCACCATCTCAGCACACCCTACCTTGAGCAGAGTGGGTACAGGTACACTTGAGCTGCCACAGCCTGCAAAGATACTATTCCAACCATCCCCAGTTCCAGGAGATGATGGATTGGAAAGCTCAGTGTACAGCTCCTTCAAGAGAAGCTATGGAGCTCAACTGGCTGCATTGGAGGATGTTGAGAACTGCCCTGATGTTGCACCACCAGAAGGTTGTCCCACTCTGCTCTGTGCTGTGGTGGCCTCACCTTGAGGCCTGGGGGCAAGTTTGCAGCACCACAAGATCTAAAGCTCTTAGAGCGTGTCCAAAGAAGGGACAGGAAGATGGTGAAGGGTCTAGAGGGACCATTCAAGGAGCTGCTGAGGGTACCTGGCTTGTTCAGCTGGAAGAGACTGAGGGGAGACCTCAGGGGGCTGCAGCTCCTCCCAAAGGGAACACTGATCTCTGCTCTGTGCAACCAGGGACAGGACCCAGGGAATGGCAGGAGCTGTCAGGGGAGGATTACGTGGATACCAGGGAAAGGTTCTTCCCCCAGGGGGTGGTTGGGCACTGGAACAGGTTTAGGTGGGATATTGGGAGAAGGTTCTTCCCCCAGAGGCTGTTTGGGCACTGGAGCAGCTCCCCAGGGCAGTGGTCACAGCCCCAAGCCTGAGAGAGCTCAAGGAGTGTTCGGACAATGCTCTCAGGCACAGGGTGGATTGTTGGGGTGTCCTGTGCAGGGACAGGAATTGGACTGATGATCCTTGTGGGTCCTTCCAGCTCACAACATTCCATGATTCTGTACTCTGACTCTAAGCTCAAACCACTAGCTGAAGCAACACTCAACACTGCTCATGCAGGTGAGTGGCACAGGCACAGCTCGAGGCAGGAAGGGAAGGGACAGGGGAAGCACTGGGAGGTGAAATGATCTGGAAAATCATTTTCCCCAGAAAAGCAGCCCATAAATAGGTTTCTAAAGGTGATTTGTCCCTGCTGCAGGCCTGCACAAACTCACCCTTGGAGAGGTCCTGCTGCTGAGCCAATGGCTGGGAAGTCATCTTGGCTAAGAGCACTGTTAGCAGCTGCTTCTTTGGAAGGGTGACAAAAAGAGTAAAGCAATGTTTTCAGTTAAACTCATTCATCCCAGAGCTGGGGCTGGCACTGAACACCACAGCAACAGCACCAGGCCCTATTTTCAGCAGCTGCTGATGTCATGAACTGACATTCCAGAGTGATTTTAAGCCATGCATCACTATTTCCTTCAATTAACTGCACTCCCCATCCTGGCAGTGCGCACGGGGAACTCAGGATGCTTGAAATGAGCAAAGCACAGGTAGGGAAGTACTTTGGGAGGGAACCTTCTAGAGACTGAGATGCCAACGGCCACAGCCTTCTGCAGAGGTTGGCACCCAGCTGCCCAAACAGGGTCAGGATGCTCATCGGAGCCTCCATGCTCCAGCTGATGTATCCCGATGTTGCTTCACCTGGAAGGCTGCTCCTCTGGGCAGCTCTTCACACCTCTGCCCAAGCTGCTCAGTAATTAGCTCCGGGGCAGTTGTTTTACACTGAAACATAACTCATTCCCAATTTAATTTGCCTTAAAATACAAAGTCTGTGCTGCAGGGAGCAGGGACAGATTGGGAATGGCTTTGACACACACACAGAGCAGAAGCTGTGGGTGATAACCTTGTCTGACCCCCCCAAATGTGCTGTACCCATTAATCACTCAGAGCTCCCAGATCCTAGTGAATTTCCATAGAATCTCTAAGTGGAAATCCCACTGCAGGAGCAATAGAACTGGAAAATGGATGTGGAGCAACACAAAATATCAAACATATAATATAAAACCAGCACTGCGCTGTATTTATTTTGCCCAAGTTGGACCTGGGTCAAAGCAGTTAAAACGTTTATTTTCACCAGTTGTGAACTTTTACTGGGAATAATTATTCCAAAAATGGAGAAACTCAGCTCAAGCATCCCAATAAACTAGTTCTTCCTGCTAGGGTGGAAAATGGAACATTCTTGATGGAACATCCCCCAAGGTTGTATGTTCCCTGCACTGATGTTCCACCTCGGGTCTAACCTGCTGAGGGATCCACTGGGACCAAAACATTCCTGGTGCTGGATAAGGTTCTGCAAAGCTCCACTCACATCTGGCAGCTCTTGGGAGCATGGCACAGTAATTCCCACCCCTTCCAGGCTGCTCCCCAGCCCCACACACCTCCCTGCAGCTGCACCTCCCGTCCCACACTCACCTGTGGCATCGCTTGGAGGCTTTGGCACACGCTTGGAGTTGAGCACATCAGGATCCCTCAGATCCTCCTTCTTCCCTCTGCTGCTGCTGCTGCCATCCTCTCTGTCCTCCACCCTTTTCTTCTCCTCCTGCCTCTTGGCTGCCACAGATGCCCTGACTGCTGCTGCAACATCCCTGTCTTCTTCTTCCCTGTCGGACAAACACGGGTGAGGGAGCAGCTGTAGCTCTCTGGCGCCAGCTGGGATGACAACCCTGATCCCATGCTGCCATCTGCTGAGAATCCTAAACCAGCCTCAGCACCCTAACCTGCAACATTCCCCCCTGGATCTGCCAGTTCAATCCAGACAAGGGAAAACTGGGATGAACTGGGAGAGGCAACACCAAGGATGCACACAGGCACCTAACTCTCCTGTTCATTTCCAAACGTATGAAACTATTCTTGGAGCCACAGGAATTCTTTGGTCATGAACTCTCAACATATGCACCATCCACATGCGACACCAACACAGGAGTGTTCTGGGATGGGCTTTTCCCCAGTGGAATCACCAGGAATGACCCAGTTGCCAGGAAAAAAAGGGAAATGGATGTGCAAAGCACTTGGGGCCGGTGTGGGTGAGACAGAGAAATGCAAAACTCCATTGCAATCCTTAACCCTTTTCCTTTCCCAGAGCACTCAGTGTGGTCACATACAGATCTATCAGTTCAATGGAAAGCATTGTCCTTAGAACAGGAATTTCAGGATCACCCAGACCAAAACAATCCATCAAACCTGCCCAGACTTGTCACCTACTTCAGAAAATCCGACTGGGAGAAGTCTGGATAAATCCAGCTGCTGGAATTTAGGCTTCTGAGGTCATTTAACTGTTTGCCTCCTGTGTCAAATCCAGAGTGCAAACCTCGCACCCAGTAACGTAACTAGCACAAAGCTTGGACGGGGAGCTCCTTCTACTCTCAGGATTCACCACAGAGGCCTCCAAATTTAGTAGCTTCCTACTTGAGCCACCAAAACACTGTGAATTGGCAAGTGAAAAACAAGACAAAGCAGGAATAAAGAGCCACAGAAGGTTGTGGTACACACCTCTTGTACCTCCAGCTGCCTCTCCTGTTCTGCTGGTTCCCTCTGCCACCCAACCTGCTGGTCCTCCCCTGCCTGTTGTACCTGTCAACTTCTTCATAGTCCTCTGCACCTACAACACCTGAACAGGAAGGAAAGGTGATCACTCTCAGGTATTTCTCTAATGTGAGCATCAATCAAGCCTGGAAAATGCAGAAATCTACTGGTACAGACAAATTCTCTTCATTTCTTGCTGATGACCAAGTCAGTAGTTCTCCTACAATTATGTGACATCATTAAATCCACACGTGGGGGGAAAATCCTACAATTCAGGTAGGAAGAGACCTCTGGATGTCCCTGCTCCAGACCCTCACTCAAAGCAAGGACAACTCAACACTACATCAGGTTGCCCAGGGCTTGGTCTGCTGAAGTTCTGGTTGTCTTCAACCTCTACAACCTCTCAGGGTCCTGTTCCGGGGCTTGTCCACCGTAATAGAATCATAGAGGTTGGAAGAGACTTTTAAGATCAAGTCCAACCATTAACCTGGAACTCTACTCTAACCCCTAAATCCTCTTCGCGAGTAAGTTTTTTGTGGCTATGAAATGTTCTCCAGATGTTCCTGAAAACCCTCAAAGCAGTAAGAACTGTAAAAATCACAGAATCATGGGATGGTTTGGGTTGGAAGGGAAGTTAAAGCTCATCCAGCTCCACTCAGTGGTAGGGACACCTTCCACCAGCCCAGGTTGCTCCAAGCCCCATCCAGCCTGGCCTGGAACACTCCCAGAGATGGAGCAGCCACAGCTTCTCTGTGCAACCTGTGCCAGTGCCTCAGCACCCTCACAGGGAGCAATTCCCTTCTAGGACATGGAATAACTCTGTTCCTGCCCTGACCATGGGCAGAGACACCTTCCACTAGCACAGCTTGCTCCAAGCCCTGTCCAACCTGGTCTTGGGCACTTCCAAGGATGGGGAGTCTACAACAGCTCTGGGCAACCTGTGCCTCACAGGGAAGAATTCCCTTCTAGCACATGGAATGACTCTGCTCCTGTGCTGACCATGGGCAGGGACACCTTCCACTAGCCCAGGTTGCTCCAAGCCCCATCCAACCTGGCCTGGAACACTCCCAGGGATGGGGCAGCCACAGTTTCTCTGGGCAATCAGTGCCTCAGCACCTCACAGGGAAGGCCTCCCTCCCACGACGTGGAATGCCCCTGCCAGGCTCACCCTCAGTGCGGCGCTGGTGCCGGGGAGCATACGTGAACTGGAGGTCGATGTGGCGGTTCTGCCTGGCCTCGGCCCTGCTCTTGCTGTGACAGGCAGTTTTGTGGGCCTTGTAGTCAATCTCTGTCCTGAAGGCATGTGTGAACTGCTCTGTGCTGCACCTCCCCTCCTCGCACAGGAAGTGCTTCTCGCGGAAGTGCTCCCGCAGGTACTCGTAGTCACTGTGGAGAGAAGAGGGTGCAGAGCTGAGACCTTCCCAACACATCCTCCTCATGCCATGGTCACGTACAACATGAAGACAAGCTCAACTGGTTGGTTTTTCCTTATCCAGAATCATCAAGGTTGGAGACCTCTAAGATCATCGAGTCCAACCATTAACCTGTCACTGTGTTACCCCCCAAACCACAGCCTCCAGTGCCAGATCCAGATGCCTCTTGAACACTTCCAGGGATGGTGACTCCGCCACCTCCCTGGGCAATATTCCAGTGCCTCAACACCTTAACAGGGAAGAAATTATTCCCAACATCTCCTCTGACTCTGCCCTGTCTCAGCGTATGGCCATTCCCTCCGGTCACAGAACCATAGAATCATCAAGGTTGGAGGAGACCTCTAAGATCATCAAGTCCAACCATTAACCTATTACTGTTGTAACTCCTAAACCATACCCTCCAGCACCAGATCCAGATGTCTCTTAGACACCTCCAGGGATGGTGACTCCACCACCTCCTTCTGCACAGCCAACACATCCCCAGATGTTAAACCTAACCCAGCGGCTGAGGCTCATCATAGCCAGTTGTGCACAAGGCATGTGTTTCCCACAAAAAACTACTTCTACCTTCTTTGCACATGACCTTTGGTGCATTAGAATCATAGAATTGTTAAGACTGGAAGACCTCTAAGACCAACCATCAACCACCACCACCACCATGTCCCCAAGTGCCACATCCATGTGTTTTTTGAACACATCCAGGGCTGGTGACTCCACCCTGCCCTGGACAGCCTGTTCCCATGCCTGAAAACCCTTTCCATGAAGCAATTTTCCCTAATATCCAAGCTCAACCTCCCTGGTACACCTTGAGGCTGTTTCCTCCCACCCTGTAACACCACAGACAGCTGCTGTAAGGCTGCAAAACGTTAACTTTGAACGTTTAACCTTAATGAAGACAATTTTAAAGCATCAACTAGACCGAAACTGAATATTTTGGGTTGAGGAACAAGAGAGGCTGCAGCCAACTTACTCCTATCCTTCTACTTTCTCATCCAACACTTCTCTCCCCACAATTCAAAGTAATTTTCCCTCAAAAATTTAAGCTACAGGAAGAGCAGAATCATAGAATTTTAGAGGTTGTAATGGAGCTTAGAGATCATTAAGTCCCAACCCCCTGCCCTGGGCAGGGACACCTGCCACCAGAACAGATTGCTCTATGCTTTTGCCACCCTGGCTGTGACCCCGGCCGGGTCTGGGGCAGCCACAGCCTCCCTGGGCAACCAGAACAAGGTCTTTGATTCAGTTTAAGCTAGAGGAAGAGGAAGAATGTGCTGGCACCAACCTGTAGTACTCCTGAGCCCCATCAGAGTCACAGAAGTGGCAGAAGTAGTGATCCCTGCGGAGGTGTTTCAGTAACTCGTCGTTATCTAGGTACCTCTCGTCGCAGAACTTGCAGAGGGGGTGCCCGCGGTGGGAGGTGTCATCTGGATCCCCATGGATCCTGTGCCGGGCCAGGTCCTTCCTGGAATACCATTTCCTCTCATAGGTAAAAATCTGAAGGAACAGATATACGTTTTAATCTATATATATGACTATTTCTGTATCTACATAATAATATCATCTCTGATTCTATGACCATATTTCTTCCCCTCTGCTCTGCTCCTGTGAGGCCCCACCTGGAGTGCTGCACACAGTTCTGGTGTCCCCAACAGACAGAAGGACATGGAACTGTTGGAGCAAGTCCAGGAGGCCACGAAGGTGATAACAGGATTGGAGCATCTTCCCTATGGAGAAAGCTGGGTCTGTTCAGCCTGGAGAAGAGAATGTTGTGTGGAGACCTCAGAGCACCTTCCAGGAGCTGAAGGGGCTCCAGGGAAGCTGCAGAGGGACTCTGGTTAGGAACTCCAGTGACAGGACAAGGGGTAATGGGGAGAAATTGAAAGAGGGAAATTCAGATTAGGTATCAGGAAGAGGTTTTCCTGTGAGGGTGGTGAGACACTGGCCCAGGTTGCCCAGGGAGGCTGTGGCTGCCCCAGCCCTGGCAGTGTTTCATTCCAGGTTGGCTAAAGCCTTGAGCAACCTGCTCTGGTGGGAGGTGTCCCTGCCCAGGGCAGGGGGTTGGGGCTGGATGATCTCTAAGCCCCATTCCAACCCCTTACCATCCTATGAAACTATGACTTCTTGTGGCCAAGAACCAAAGGGGCTAAGCCACATTGCGCCCAACTTGGCCATTTGTGGGAGACAGATTTGCTTCAAAGAGATGAAATTTGACCACCAACACCTAAAAATCTGGGTGGACAGAGACAAAATTCAAGTGATGGATCCAAATTAAATCCAACTTGGATTTCTCTCAGTTTAAACACTGGAAACAGAACTGTATCACTTTTTTTCCCTTCACATTTTTTTTGGACTTCACAAACTTAATTTATAATCTCTGAAGGAGAAAAATCCAAAGTATGTATCTAGAAACACACAGTGTTTTACATACTCAAATGAAAACCCTCATAAACCCCAAGTGAGGTATTTTACTTCCCTCAGACACCAACAACCCCAAAACAGCCACACACAGGATACAGTTCAGTCACCAAATTGTGTTCCATAAGCCAAACCCCTGTTCCTGTGAGCACATGGGCTGCTTTAGTAGGAAGGTTCTGGAGATGCCAAACATCTGAGAACAGAATATCCTTTATTCCTGGCCTAGACAAGGACCGAGAACTTGCTCTGGGGAAAGGGTTGGTTGGCTTAGTTTGGTTGGTTGAAGCTTCTGCAAGCTGAAGAACATTTTTCAGTGGTACTGGTAAAATGGAACCTTTTTTGTGCCAAATAAAAATCTCTACGATACTGTGAAATGAAAAATCAGCAGATTTAAATACAGATTGTGAATTCTCTGGGAGAGACAAAGTCCCTCAGTGCTCAGCATGTAACACCTCCTCAGTGGAGCAGGAAGGACACTGTGATCAAAACAGGGTCCTGCCCTCCCTCCCCAGTTCCCTTCCACCATGACCACAGGGAAGACTCAAATCAGTTCCTAAACTCCTGCTCACTCTGGATCCTTCTGGCAGCAGTTCACCTCGAGTAACCCACCTGTGGCACCACCACTGTAGGGCTTAATTTGACATCTGGAGAACATCCAGATCCTCCTAATCAGTTTATGGAAGGAGAAAGACCTAAAGCAACTGCTCTTGCTGCAGGAGGCTGAGGCAACTGAAATACATATGTGCTGTTCAGCCACTCCTTCTTCCCAGCTACACAGATCCCTTGGAGGTTATGGAGGGAATCTCTCCTCCTTCCCACACATCCACCAGAGACTCAGCTCACCTTTAGATGTTTGACACACAGCTTGCAACAGAAGAGCTCATGCTGCTTCCTCATGTGTTGTTCCAGGTCTGCAAAGGTGTTGAAGGGCTTTGCATCTGGACACAGGAAGCATTCATGCTGCAGCAGTTTCCTGAGAGATGAGACAGAGTTTCCAGAATGATCCAATTTCCTCTTAGCATCCCAATTCCTGCAGCAAAACCCACATGCTCCCTCCCTGGAAGAAGGCTGAAGCTTCAGAGCTCCCCCAGGAATCCGTATTGCAGTTTGAGTGCTGCTTATTCCAAGAATTCCCTAAGTCAGGAATGGAATGAAGCCAAATACCAGAAGAGCTGAGCAGGCACAGTGTAAGAGCTGCACTGTCATTACAACAAACCCTTTGCTTGTCGGATATTCAGCTGATTCCTGCTGATTCCACACCCCATTTCATAGCACTTTCCACTGTCCCAAACAGAGTGGGAAGGGACAAAGGACTGTAATAGAAATGGAGGGGAAAACCCCATCCCACAATGGTTCCCAACACTGCCAGAACACTGGAGGCTCCCATTCCCAACTTGCATAAACATCGAGTCATGGAAAGCTGCAAATGTATCAAAGTGACATCCTTAGCCCAAATCTGGGTGGATATAATGACCCATTCTCCAGGAAAAAGGTTCCACTACCTGTATGGCTCCATCTTTTCTACTCTTCTCTCCTTTTAGCTGCTTTTAATCAGCATAAAGCCTCCCAATTAAGCACATTATACACTGGATTTGTCGAATGTGATGCTGAAGCCACATTTTCACTCTGCATTGGCTTTTCACTTCACCCTTTTCCTCTCCCACTCAGAACAAGGCAGACAAGGCTGTTCTTCACACAATATTCGGCACAGCAAGTTTGCTTAGTCCTTACTCAGCACAGTAATAATGACAATTATACCACTAACTATGTCTTTCCCAAATTCCACAGCAAGGAATGGAAAGGATTCCAGCAATTTTGCCAACTAAAGCAGAGAAATATGACTTTAATAGATCGAGTTTGTGTGTCATGTGTTTGGAATCCAACCCTCAGCCTTGGTGCTGTGCTCCCTCCCTCTGCCCTTGGCCAAGCACCTGCCCAGCAGGTGACTCATGCAGCCAGCAGCAATATTCCCAGGAAACCACCCCCCTGCTCTCCCAGAGCACTTCCTGCCACGTCGATCAGCACTGGGAGAGGAGCAGAGCTCACCTGTACAGAGCATACACCTCCCCGTCCATGAAGTAGATGTCATACTTCTTGTCATGCTGCAGCTGCTGCAGAGCTATGGAGGAGAAGGCAGGAAGCTTCCGACCAAACACCACCTGTGGGACACAGCCATGGGTTAGGGAGCACATGGACACTGGGGCATGGGGAGTCCTGGGAACTCCCCTGCAGCATTCCACACAAACTCCTCAGCACCAACTTTGGGATCAAACCCTCCCAGAATTCCAGACAAATTCCCCAGCACAAACTCTGGGACCAAACCCCCAGCACTCCAGACACTCCTCAGCACCAACTCTGGGACCAAACGCTCCAGCATTCCAGGCACACTTCTCAGCACCAACTCTGGGATCAAACTTCCCAGACCAAACGCTCCAGCATTCCAGGCACACTCACTCCTCAGCACAAGCTCTGGGATCAAACTTCCCAGACCAAACGCTCCAGCATTCCAGGCACACTCCTCAGCACAAGCTCTGGGATCCATCTCCAGAGCATTCCAAGCTCCTCAGCACCAACTCTGGGATCAGACTCCTCAGCATGAACTCTGAGATCCATATCCCCAGCATTCCTGACACACTCCCTAGCACCAACGCTGGGACCAAACTCTCCAGAATTCCAGGCACACTCCTCAGCATAAGCTCTGGGATCATCTCCAGAACATTCCAAGCTCCTCAGCACCAAGTCTGGGATCAGACTCCCCAGCCCAAACCGTGGGATCAAGCCCCCTGCGTCCCAGACACACTACCAGCACAGACCCTGGGCTCTGCCCAGCAGAGCTGTGCCAGCCCCAGCCCCTTCCCCCCACAGTGCCTGTCGCTCCCAGCTGTCACCTGTCCTTATCAGCCCTGGTTCTGGGAAGGGGAATTGGCCCAGCTTGGCCTTTGGAGTTTGAACCACACTGGGCAACATT